ACTGCGCATGTGCACTGGCTGATCTAGCCTGAAAAATACGCTTTTTTAACGCTATTTGAGTAAAATAAACAACATTTATGATACAGTTGTTGTCAGATTTCATTGGTGATTTCAAATATGAAATTTAATCGTAAGCTTAGTGAACAATTTTGGAGAATTTGATGTTTCCCCATTCAAAGAGATAGAAGCTGCACCTGCATGCCCGAAAGACGTTTCAAAGATGGCCGCCGAGTGACATGACTTGCCTTAAAGGGACTTTGCTAACAGTGCAAATCCTAATGGTTGACCAGAATTTTTTGCAGTGCGATGGAAAATAAATTCTGAACAGATGCATAAACAACGATTAATTCGTAAAAAATGTTTATCGCTCTAAATTTGCAACTGAACATTTGTCTTGGAGTGAACAGGACTTTATGGTGTTGTTTTGTCACTTTTAAATGTGTGAAATTATTCCAAAAATGTACTTTTGTGTTCCTTTTGCGGGTATATAATGACAATATTTTTATTTTGGGGTAAAACTGATTTGTTAATTTGTTGGCAAAAAAGCACTGGCCTATTGCATTTGCATAGAACAAGTTTTTGCGTTAAAAGAGATCTTAAATAAGAAATAAGGCTTTAGGGTATAGTACTCATTACATGTGAGTATGTACTGTGGTTGGACTAAGGTCTTTCTGTGGTGAACCTCAGGGCACTAGGGGGCTTTGTTTCCCATAATGTTGGTTTACTCAGGGTCTCGGCCTGGGAAACAAATACAACTTACATGTCTATTGTCACAGCACTGTTAATGTACACCGAATAAAGGCAGGAGACAGATCTGACAATAAATCCATGAATAAAACGTTATTAATATCACACTTTTTATCTCTCCTGACAATTAATTCACAAGTCATTTATGTCGCTATGTCTCATTTGCTGTGTAATATTCACACTCACAGATCCAGCTCAGCGTTCCCTTCATGCATATGTAAAAATGTTCTTGTCATGAACAAGAGTAATATGTGTAGAGAGAACAAATCCCGACTACATTTACAGAGCTCACAGTATCATCTGGCAGGCTGAATAGGTTGGTGTGGTTGCTTCAGGTGTGCTGAGGAGCTGGAGGGCGTGCAGAAAGCATTTTACAAGCCCTTACTGACAAAGACACTGGAAATGCAAAGCCAGAGGATCCAGTATGGGGGGAAATCCCACCTGGAGGAAACAGTCATTAAAACAAGATTTAGATGTGTTTGTCTGAGGAAAATATAATCATGGCACCACAATGATAAGGCGGCTGCCAAGGCATTGCTAGGGTGTTCTGGGTGGTTTGTAGGGTTTTGCTAGGTGGTGTATGCCAACTCTCTAGGATATTCCCGTCTCTAGATATAGCTCATGTTCAGTCTGTTAGATATTTACAACTCAATTTCACAGCTATTCATAAATATTTTGTATTGTGGCAAATTGGTGTCTAATTTGTTGAGTACTACAATCTCATTTGTTTGTTTGGTCTTACTTTAGTTCTCGCTATTAATAAACTATTAACTGATTTTTGCCTCAATACACTCCTAATTTGCTGCTTATTAATAGTTAGTAAGGTAGTAGTTAAGTTTGAGTATGGAGTAGGATTAAAGGATCTAACATATGGTCATGCAGAATAAGACATTAATATGTGCTTTTTAGTTTACGTGCAATTCACGTTGTACAAATTCATATGAAATCAGCACCTCATAAAATAGCTATGTTTTCCTGTGAGATCGGGTTGGTTGTTGCTTATTTTATCATTTGACAGTCAGAAATTGCAAAGCCCAACTGCTTTGAAAAGTATAAGATATCTCTCACAAGTTGTGCAAATTTGGGTATCATTTATGTCTGTAGAACAAATGCATGAGCAATAATGTTTGTCTTAACAAGCACCACTAATTTACCCACTATATTTAAATCTGGTTTTGAAACCTGTTGGATATGGAAATCTTTACCCCAAACATATTTTCTGGAGCTGAAGAATATCTCATAGTGTGATTGAGTCTGCCTTTGCCATTTCTAAGGCACCAACTGTACTTTGCCATTTCCATTTTGCCCAAAATATTTTCATGGTTTCATTGTATTCCCCTAAATGGATAATTCTAAAACAGTCTAATGATTTTCATGGGCATACAGTTCAAGGCTTGAGGAAAGTCCGTAAAGGTCCAAAAAGCACATCTATAGGGAATTATATCAATTAAAATTTGAAAAAAAAAAAACTGTAATAGATTCAGATCTGTTTGGAGACTCATATCTGCTTCTGTGTTATGAGCTGGAGTCTTCCTCCCTCTTACAGAAGCTGGGGCAGTCTATCATTTTCCTGTGATCTGCCATCTACAAAGCTATTATTT